TTGTAGTTACGTGTTTCTTGTTAATCCTCTTAAAAGACAAAATCGACAATAGCCTCAGGTAATTGAGAACATTTTCCATCGTACAAAAGGCATTTTCCTGGGCTTAAATTCCACTTTTCTCTTTGGTTGCAGCCTTTTAAAAAATAATTTGCCTGGCACGTGTGTGCCAAAATTGAGGGCAAAAAGTTCCTCTTTTGGTCTTTTGCCTGTTACCAACCTGGTGCTTTTCGCACTCACTTTAAAAGCACATTACGGCTTCTCGTGCCGGCGCCGAAATTAAATTTGAAAGCTTCGCGACGCTTTTATTGCGTCGCACTTTGTCCGAATTGGATAGAATTCGCGCGCCGGAAATGGGCTGGCAAAAGCGGCGGCGGCGTTTTATAAAAGTGGCGGCCGGGCTAACCACCTGCGCTAATTATCGCGCGCGCACAGAGTGTTCCAAAGGTGAAAGTTCAAAATCTCGGCGGACGATCGTAAATTCGGCCCAATTTATTGCTGATTGTGTTTGTGAGCGCCGCTGGTAATTTGATTAGGGAAGGGCTCGTCGCGTCTCGCGCAGGAACAAACAGATAAACTGCCTCGCGAGCTTAATAATGAGATATCGACGCCCTTTCATATTTCGGGTCCCGCAGGGCTCCGACGTTAACTAACGGACGAGGTGCCCCCCTGGTGATCGCAAAATTGCCGCCATTTCCTACTTTTGCACCTAATGCGTTGTGTCGCGCAGAGTGCCTTTGCTCGTTTTGAGTTTCAAGGCTGCAACTTTTGGGCTCGAAAGTTCTCGCACAAAAGCATTTAATTATTTGGAAATTGTTGTTTCTGGAATGAGAATATTCCAGTTCGTGTGGTACAATGTGCACTTCTTTGAATATTGGTTATTATTTTTTAACTGTTTTTAAATTTTGAGTTTGCCAAATAATTTAAAGAAAGGAAAATAAAATTATTTTAGAAGCCATTAATTACATAAAGATTGATTAAATCACAATCCTGTTGTTATGATAGCGAGAATTTTTAACTAATAAATATAAGTATTGTGATATTAGTGAGTTTTCATCTGTAATGAGAGTTTTTGTTTTGAATTATTTTCAGAACTATACCAATGATGTATGAATGAGAATTTCGAATGACATATATTTCTAAATTTGTCAATGATTTGATAATATAGTTTTTACTCTGAACTGTATCAATGCAAAACCACAACTCAGATACAAATCAAGCCTGTCCTTTTGTCTATAAATTATTTTGGCTTGTTCAGAGAAAAAATTTAATAAATAAAAAAATATTTAAGCGCAAAAGTTAAACCCTCGTCAAGTTGCTCGAAAAGAAAATGATTTAAATTCGCAACTTCGCTTATGACGTCACTCGACGACACTTTGACCTTTCTCGGTAACATCTCATTATTTTTGATACATGCGTATATATAAAATTCACCCACGTGAAAAAAAACCGAGCAGAGGGGTTAAAAAAGTTTTAATCCGCGGCAGCTGGAGTGGCGAGGGAAACGCGTTTGCACCTGCCAGTCCAATGAACTTGCAAGGGCATCACAGACAGCTTGTCTGTCTCGAGAGTGGAATTTTCTTGCATTCCGCTCGGCTGCTGATTCCAATCAGAGTGAGTAAGAGTTCCTCGGGCAAGGTGGGAGATTGTGGCGTGCGCGCCTCTTACAGGTGCAAGAGTCGCGCACACACGTATAATCTGGTTATCAAAAGGCGAGAGTGCCATGACTGCTTCTCATTAGTTATTTAATTATAAATAAATTGCTCTCACTATTATTATATTATAGGGAGAATATTTCTGTTCGGTAAAATCCTCCAGGGGTCTAATTCTTACAGGTATAAATTGCTTTAAACAATGGTTATCCCGGGAGGACTCCTGAGGAGTGCTGAAGGAAATACACACATTATTCTTCATTGCGCAGAACATGAGTTAATTTTGTCCTTGTTTATTCTTGCAAATTCTAGACAACCAAAAGAAAAATGATAAAAAATATTAAATTTTATGACCCATGAAATTTTAAAACTGCGTCTGTTGTTTTATTTTAAATTTTGGTAAAGATTTATTAAATTTGCTAGCATAAATTTAATTTTAATTTTTAATATTCAAATAATTTGTTTATAAAATAAAATTATTGTTACCGAAATATTTAAAAAATATTTAAAATTTTAATTATCTTGGTCAAACCATTAACTAATGTCATATAACAATTGGTGTAATATCATCTGGAATTACCACATCATTAAAGGATATCTTTAGTGAAGTCCCCCATTATTTATATACAGACTTTAAGGTCAAATTTTAGTAAAATATATTTATTGACTTAACATTTAAACATTTCATTTCTTTATATTTGATCAATCGCAATTGAGGGTATAAAAATAACAAACTATATGACTGCAATGCAAAAAAAAAAAAAAAATATTAAAATGATAATAAATTTTTTTTCAAGACTTTCTCATCTTAAAGATATGAGCGTCTGAAAATATTTAAACTACATTAGATTTAAAATCCAATTGAAGATATCTCTTAAAGATGAATTGGATTGCAGAAGACAAAGATTTTTTTGTTCCGCAGAGCAACAGAGTCCAACAGCCCGGTCAGATTTTTTTCTTACTTTTCTACTAATCACCCATGTATCTGATAATGGATTGCGTCAAGCCTCTCCTTTTCTCTCTTGGGGGAAAAAATAGCAAGGAATGAAACATTGATTAGGTCGCTGAGGAGCAGGAATTAGAGAGAGCGGGGCAAAAAATAGGCCGGGCGACCGCAATCAATCCTGGCGCAAACCCCCAGGGAGGGAAAGTACGGGCGGAAAAAAATGATAAATAATTAGCGCAAAGGGAAGGAGGCGATTGAGGCCGAAGAAGAAGTGCACCGGCACTTCCCCGCCGCATTTCTTGTATCGATTGAGCCTTGCAGGCGCGGCTGTCAGAGCTACTCTTTATACCACTCGACTCGCTCCGTGTCCTGCCTGCCTGGATGTGCCGAGCCCAGCTGCGCCGCCCCTGCCCCAGCCTGGACCAAAACGCACCTTGCGCCGCTGCTGCACCTCCCCCCACCCCCCTCCCCCGCTGCGAGGTCTGCCGAGCACTTAATCACATTAAAACGTTTCAAGTGTTTGCATTAATTTTCGCAACTCTCTTTTTCCCTTTTCTTGGCGCGGCGGATAATTGAATTGCGCTGCCGATCGACGCCTCTTCTCTTTTTTTGAAACGTGATGATAAAACAGCTTGTTGGCAAGTCGGCGAGAAAAACAATCCGCTTAAATGAAAATCGCTCCCCGGTGGAATGGAGCAAATTTTCAGCAATCAGTGCGAAAAGCTGAAAATTGCTCCGTCGTGTGTGAGAGGACACGGAGACGAAATCATAATATTGGCAACCTCACGCACGGTTTCTCCCTGAGCTGAATGGAGTTTACGAGAGTTGATTCGACTGAATAAATGTTTGTTTTGCACGCGTTTCAACAATGATGACTAAAGCAATAACTTCAAGTTTACGATTGATAATAATTGTAATATTAAAAACAAAAATTATTTCAATTGGACATAAAAAAATAAATTTCAGGTTATCAATTTAATTATTGGATTGGATTTAAAACCAAAGGTAATATTTCTTAACCCAAAAATAAAGCGAATATAAATTTAATAATTATTTTTACTAGTTTGAGTATGGAAATAATTATTTAAAGTATTTTGCTTTCCATTTGAAGATAAGGTAAATTTGATCAATTTAAATTAATTTTTAATGTTGCAGAAATTATTTAATTCTAAATCATTAAAATTTGTTTATGCAACTAAATAAAATATTGAAAAATATATAAAAACGTTTCAATATAAAAAGCAATAAACCGAATTCATTAACAATTCTGATTAATTGATTTCATTCATTGTAATAAATTAATTGAAAAATCTAGCAATGCGTTTAGTGAAATTACGGAAGTCTTTATTTTCCTCGTAAAGAAGCAAGGAGACGTGATTCATTTTTTTTCCAAGCACTTGTTGATTCTCATTAATTTTGAAACACTTCGTTATTGTGTCTGGCGCACAAATTTTGCACTTTTAAATTTTATGTAGAAAAGTTTATTTTAAAATTGGTGGTCTCAACAGCTTTATAAAAATTTAATTTTTTCCCTATTTATAGTTAAAAGATTATATAATGTGTTTAAAGAATGTTTTTTTTTGTTCAATAAAAATAATAACAATTAAAATTAAGTATAATTGCAGGCTATCTAATCTGTCATCTATCGCCAGCTGGTCCCACCCTACCATAATTCACTCTTGCCCTCTCTTACAACTTTTGGCACGCCGACGATTCGGAATTCCGGTGCGTGCATGTCCGCCGTAAATAATAAATCAAAATCTCAAAAAGGAAATTCGCTCCGCCTTCGCAGCAGGAAACTAATATTCGCGCGGGCAGGATAAATTGCAAGGCCCGAGCGTAATATTTATACAGCGTGGTACGCTCGGTGATAAACTGCCATCGACTAGTAAAATGACTCACAATATTCTTATCGCAGAGAGGAAGCGGCGGCGCGTCTGTTAGGCCTGCGACGCCCACGCCCGCACAGTCAATATTGTGCTGCACGTCGGTCAAGAAGTGCAAATATTTGCCATATTTACACAAAAGTTGCGGCAGACGCAGAGAGGCGGCTAATTATGCACTGACGTGCGCGTTAATTACACACAAAAAAAATCCAGCTGTTATTTCAAGATAAACTCTTTCAACAACAAAAGAGACAAATTTAATTTTCTACGTTAAAATTTAACATTATGTTCAACGGTTTTCACAAAATAAAATTAAATTAAAATTTATAATAATTATAGATGATGATTCAAATGCAATAATTATATTCATGGTTTCAGATAATTGTTTTTACAATTACAATATTTTATAAGTAAATAATTTAAAATATCAAATTTAGTTTTTTTTAGGATTTTCAGTCATTAAATTTCACTCTTGACAGCTGTTTTTGTTTCCAACAAAATAAAAGTAATATGACTGACCTCTAGATTGGTTGGTGGGTGTCTGTCGGCAGTGGTCTGCACATCGACGGTCTGTGGTTCGGAGAGCGCGGGCGGCGAAGAACAAACTGTGCTGGGCCGAGTGCTGTTGCGCGATAGGTCTTGGCGAACGAAGAAAATTTAATACGGCAGGGCGCAGAGTGCGCTGGTAAACAGCGAGGCCGACTTTCGCGCTGCTTCCAATACTCTGCGTGCTGCTGCCCTATTGTGGGGCTCGGCGGGCGGCACCAAACCGAATCAAAATACCACGCAGCCGCGCCGTGGCCCTGCGCGCTCTGCTGCCGCAATCAAGCACGGAAACTGATCCGAGCGCTGCCTGCATTTCATTTCACCCTTTTTTCTGCCGATTGTTTTCTCTGCCGCCGAGTGTTGTCGTTAGTTGCGGCGTTCAACTAACCCTGCCGCGGTGGAGAGAAAAAAAATTCAAACGCGGATCAACAAGTTATCTCGTTTTTTGTTTTGTGGTTGCATTTTTCTACTCCTTGTGTAAGCGATAAAAAGAAAACGGCTTGTGTTTTCGAGATGTGTGTTTTGCGGGAACGGTGGTTCATCTCCGCTAATAAAATAAACAGACGCCGCTTTTATTTATCTTGGCGGTTTGTAGCGCGCGCCCTCGACAGCCAGTTCGAAGCAGCGCTTTTGTTGCCAGCGAAAATGTTCCAGATTCGTCGACAACACCAATCAAGATGCTTTGTTTAACTCTCGACCCAGTTAGTTTATGGACCCCATGATGCCCTGATATTTAGTCTACTGATAAATTCAATGAATTTTAAATTTGTACCGGTAGTTTTATTTTCACATTTGATGTAAACATTGGTAATAATTTTGCTTGCAGACCTCTCTTGAGCGTTTTAGCAACTTGTCTGCCAAGAGGTATTACCGTTGTTTTTTTCTTTCTCTAATTTTTCTTATTTGTGAAGAATAAACAATTATAACGATAAAATTAAAGTTTTTTTTAAAATTGAATACAATAATATTATTTCTCTCTAAACAAGAAAAAATGATCAAGTATTGTCAGCGCGACTTATTTTGCTGAATTTAATTGTTTGATTAGTTATCATCTGAATTATATAAAACTTTTAGAGAAGAAGTTGGTTATCAAGGAGACTTTCATAGAGTGAAGAAAACAGGCTTCCTCTTTGGTGGAAGGTTGAAATTTTTCTTTAAAAAAAAAAACGGTATTTCTGGTATCCATCATAATACAAGTACAATTTTAATGCTTGCTGACTTATACAATTTTTAATTCATCATTTTGTTAGCTCGTTTAACGCAAAACTTTGTTTAAAACAACTTTTCATTAATTTCTATGAAAAAAAATCTGAAAATTATTTGAAAGAAAAATGTATAAAAAAAGCAATATAAATTTATTTCAGATCCTGCTAAAAGCAGGCAAATTCTGCAACTGTTTCATCGCGGCTGTCACGCAGGTTGCCTAATTTAAAAAGTGGCAATGACGCGTTGCGTCAAGAGCAGCAGTTCATCATCATGCCGGTGAAATTATTCCTCCCAATATTCTCAAATATCCAAATCTTACATAGCAGCAAAATTAATGTATTAATTTCCTCTTTAAATAATGAAAGAGTTATAACTTGCGGCGCATTTAAACGATTTGCCTTGCAATCATTTGGGAAATATCAATTTCCAATCAAGTTGCGAACGAAGTTGAAAAGACAGGCAGCGCGCGAGCAGAGGTAATAAACAAATTTGCAGAATTCCCAGCTGGAAAACTTTCGACTCGAAGTTTCTCTCTTGTTTTATTGCAGGCGAGCAGGAAAGGCAGTCCCCGTTTGCCCTGCTCTCTCGAAGTAGGGCTGCCGGGGCATGCAATCAAAGAAAATACGTGACCGAACTAAACTACCGCACAATGAGCTCGAGGATCAAATTAGAATGCAAAGCTCAAAGACTAAATTACACCCAATTAAACTGTTCAACGGTAATAAATTCCGTTAAAATATAGCGTCTTGGGAGGAGAAAAGCAGGCGAAGGGGTCGTTTGCTCCGCCGCCGTGTGCCGTGTGTGGCGCAGCACGGTTGTTAAAATATTCATTCGGCACATAATAAAAACGTCCCCATATATAAACACGCAATCAATATCGCAATAAAACTTGCTCTTTAGTGTATGAACTCGGACGTGAGAGAGGGAGAGGAAAAAAACGAGGACGCGTGCTGGGAATAAAGTGCCGAATTAAATTCCAGCTGGCAAAAAGAAGAAGGTGCATTTGTTACATTAAAATGATTACCTGCTGGATAAAATGTGGAGAGAGGGTGCAAAAGTTGTGCTTCTCTGTGCAGCTGCTCTCTGAGAGAGAGAGAGATCGTCGGGCTTTCATCTCGCAGATAGAGAGAGAGCAAGTTTGCTCCGGTGGTGTGGGTTGAAAGGCGGAGAATTACAAGTCGACGCGCACTAGTTTTAGAACTCTACTGATGTTTATTACATTTTCCATATGTACACAAGGTATTCTGTGTAATAACAGTTGTATAATAATCATAAATGCAAGAAGAGAGATCAAACACAAAGTCATCAATTCAGCGGTTGATATTAAATTTTCCATTTTTATATATATATATATATAGATAGTACAATTTGTTTCTTGTGAGCTGGCTCTCATTTTCATTATTATTTATAACAACTCTTGATCTCGGTACGATATAGCTTTGTTTTAAATTTTCTTATTGTTTCGTCGTTTGTCGTCTTTTTACACGTTGTCCTCTCAAATTATTACTTTTTTACTTAGCAGCTATTATAGTTTTTGCTCTTTTTGTTCATTTTATTTGCACGTGATCACAACCCTTGCTATTCATTTCGCTCCACTAGCATCGTTATTCGATTCGTTTCTTTATTATTATTTTATTCTCCTGCTTTTTCGAAATAGAGGGCATTTTTTCTATTCGCTTATCGGAAGAAAAAGCCGATCAAATCATACAGAAGACGACTCTTTTCCCATGTTATGTTTATCGATTGTCTCGAGTCGTCGGAATTAAATTCAGATTCAACTTGGCTGAATGAGTTTGGTTTTTCTTTCCCTTTTTTTTAGCCGGGAAAGAGAATATTGGAAAATAATAAAAGTAACACAGACCGGCAGACAAAACACATAGTATTGAATGCGCATTTGGGACGATAAATTTCGCGTGTCTTAATGCCCGGCAATAAAAGCCAATGTACGTAAACACGCGCCCAGATTGCCGTATAATGGAACGACGAGACACTTTAACGACCAACGAAGGAGCATCAACAAGTAATTAGCTGTAGATTTTGATTTTTTTTTTATCCATTTTTATATCTCTCAATTTTCTTAAATCCAGCACGAATGAATAGCAGGGGGATAAATTATGCGGTTTAAACATACATTTACAATTTACACGTCAGTCACTTTTGGGCGGTAAAATCTCGTAAAACCGAGTTACAATATTTGAGCATTTCGAGTGTTTTTTTCCTTTTGTTACTTTGTTTTTAATAACTGCGCTGACAACGTCACTCGTTGTCATCATCGGAACTCTCCTATAAATTGCTTACTAATTCTTTAAACATACAAGGGAGCATTGAAAAGTTTGATCTAGAAATAATAGAAATATTTATATTAAAAACTAACCTTCAAAAGAAGCAATCTTATTTAGCATAATAATATCTCTGGAGGTTTGAAACTAAAAAAAACTTTATGTAGAACTTTCCTGAATGGAATGTGAATTATTAAAATAATAAATTAAATATTATTTATTAAATTCTTCTCATTCAACAGAATATAATTAATAATCAAAAGAAGCCCAACCATTTATGGTAAAGGACGGTTATGATTATTTATTCTTCTTATTTAATTTATTTATACATAAAATAAAGAAATATTTTGAAACATTAACGATAATTTAAAAATAAAAATATAGCTTTTTAATGATTTAATGAAATTATTTACAACAATTTTGAAATGTTTTCAATGTTCCCTTGCAAGATATTTTATTTTTTAATTAATCTCATCTCGCTAGCCTCGCGAATAGAAACGGATTGTGTGTGTTTGTTATTCGAGGATAATGCTCTAATTGTTCTCCTAATTGGCGTCAAGTGGCTAGAGTTGATTCAAGAGCAACTGAAACCGAGTGCTCTCTTTGCTAGAGGAATTAAGCGACGGCGGAATGCTGAGACGTTCAAACAACTTAACCTTTAAACACGTCTACATTCATGTACATAATTATTATTATTGCGCTGCTTAGTTAGAATTCGCACGGAACAGCTAGTGTATTATTCCGTGACGCAACAGCTGGAACGAAATTGCGGAACACATGCGTAGGCGCGGCTCCTTTGATAATTTCCTGTTAAAGCTTCTTGGGCGCCTGCAGAGAAAAGAACGCGCGCGCAGACTCTGCTCTTCAGAAATTAAAACCCGCTCCCCTTTAATAACGCAGCTGCCGCTGGAAAATCTTTGTGTAATCAAATCACGAAATCTGCTCGGGCTGCGCTTTCTATCTCTCTCTCTCTTTCTGCTGCTTCCACAGGAATAATCTTTCCCCGAGTATAAAAGTTGTAATTTAAATATGCAATTTGCGGAGGAAATGTTCGCTCTGTTATTCAAAGGAAACGCGGCGAGAGGAAAAAAGAAGAAAAGAAAGAGCGCCGCGAGTTTTATGATATGCATAGAGTTGTCAGGCGACACTATTTGTGTGAAACAATAGACCTGTGCATCGCGACGCCAGCGCCATTATACTCGGGTCGATATCTAATATGAAAACACAAGGTGCTGCAAAATTAAATGGCTCGTAATGTGGATGAAAACGACGGAAATTATTAATAAAAAATTCAAAGGATGTGCGAAAAAAGCAGAAATTGATTGGGTTTGGAGAATATTTTATAACAGAATTTTCCAGCTCGTATTTCTCATAATTATTTTCTTAATAAAAAAAAAAGAGAAAATTGGCTGCCATTTTTCTAAAAATTATTCAGCTTGTTTTAGTTCCAAATAAAAGAATCTTCGTATTTTATAAAATGTGTTATTTCATAATAAAATTTGAAAAAAAAAACAATTTCCATTAATTTATACAGCTCTATTGTTTCACTGATCACAAAATACCATCAGGTATTATTGAAATTTATAGGCAGGCGTTCGTGAGCAAACTTTATGTAGTCCAAAGGAGCCGCCCATTGTTTCGTCGAACGAGACAAGAGCCGTGATATGATGCGTAGTTATTCGCGAGGGCAAAAAATTCAACCGAGTGGGATGGAGGGGAACACTAGATCATAATAAACATTTTCGCTGTACAACAATATAGCAAGCCAACTGACTCTCTCGTGCGCGAGGAGAGAGAGAGAGAGAGAGAGAGAGAGAGAGAGTGAAGGAAAGAGAGTGTTTGTTTTACTGCCAGCTGTCTTGAGAGAGTGAAAGAGCAGCAGCGTAATAATAATTCTCCTCATCGTCACATAAAAAATTATCCTCTTCTGCTAGTTCCTCCGTCACATTTGCATATAGTTTTTCATTTTTAAAAAAGAAACACTCTCTTTTGATTAAAATTATGAATTAACGAGATAGAGAGTTGGCCCAGAATTGAAATGTTGCGAAGAAGGATTTTCCTGCCGGCCTTGTCAAACTTTTTTCTCTCGTAGCCACAGCACATTGACAGAGTAATTAATATACACCTGGTAAATGGTAGAGATAGTGTTTTTTCTTTTTTTTTCGTTTATCTTTATAATATATATATTATGGTAATATTTGAATGTAATAACATGACATGCAAAAACACTTACAAAATGATATTCAGGCAGATATGCAACAGTAGTAGTTTCTTTACAATGACCATTGGAATGCATAATGGATTAGAGCGGGAGTGGATAATAATAATCCGGCCAAGAGAGAGAGAAACACAAACTCGCTCTCGCTTTTGTTCTATACAGTATGTATGTGTCTTGCAGTTTTGATGAGCAGAGTAGAGAGCCCTGTTGTGTGTGTGTGTGTGTACGGAATAACGCGCTCGCGACACACACACTGATAATGAGGGCGTACATCTATCGAGAGAAAAGAAGGAGTATCACATCTTTTTCATTACAAGTACATTATTTTCCTCCTGCTTTTCCGTGTCTCTCGGACGGGTGGCGCGGCGGCGGCGGAAAATAAAAAACCACATCACCTCTCCATTGACTTCCCGCGCTGCGCAAAATCGATATTTCTCGGGAGCGCGCACGTAAATAAAAGCAGCATAAATTTTTACACAAACCGCGCGCAGCTAGCAAGTTATTTTTCCATTTTCCACCCACTCTATACATATCATTAAATATGTAAACAACTTTTCGCCATGAATCACAACGCCCTCGTCATGTGCACAACACACTCCAGTTTAATGAAAACTCTGTGCAATATTTCAGTCTTTATTTTTGCTTAATTGATATTAAAAATTAGCTTTTTATTATTTCTTTGAGTAAGAGATTTTAGCTGTGATTTGTTTTGTCCAAATCCAGACGAAAATAATCAATGCTGACAGTGATATTTTATTTGCCCAAAGATATTATCAATTTTAAAAAATTTATCCCTTTATGAAATTAAGATTTGAAACAAGGAAATTAGTAAGATTATGAGTTTGATACGAGTTTTTGCTTTATAATGGAGGGTGCGTGAAACTGTTCTCATAATTCGCTCTTTCTCCCTTTTAACACATGTCGAGATATGTACGTTAACTTGAAAATTGAGACCGATAAAAAGTGAAGGAAAAGCGAAACGGCGTTGACGTTCGTACCAAGCAATGGCGTGCGTTGTAATTCTTTGAAAAAAAAAAATAATATTCAAACAATCAGTTACGCCTTTTCCACCGCAAAAAAACAACAACAACACCACTTTCCGAGAGACTGGACAAAAACTAAAATCCGAAAAGTGCCGCTTATTATATAATTAACTTTTTTTGCCACAATGAGGTAGGTTTAGAAAGGTGAACAAAGACTGAGGAGGTTTGATTAGATTAAAAAAGTCATGAACGCGTGTGTGTGCGAGTTCATGTGGGTTGAGTGTTTTTTTCTTCTTAATTCTTATGCCTTTAACTTATATTTAGGTATCCAATAAGAAAAATAGCCAGCGAGTTGATATAAACATGTCGATCAAACACATTCATTTTTCTCTTAAAATCCTTTTCTTTCTTTCTTTCTTTCTGGTGCATGCACTGCACTTTAAAGCGTCCCACTCGCTCTCATTGTATGTACCACAGTTTAGACGCAGCTCTCCTGCTGGTTCAGCGTTTTCACGGTGACGATCTCGCGCGACGGCGGCATCTCGAGGATGCCCATCGGCGACTGCTGCCCACCGTCCTGGGGCTGCGGGAAATTGATTTGGTCGACGCCCGCTGCTGCAGTGTCTGTTCTTCCACACTCGACGCCTTTGAAGGTGCTGTTGGCCCCGTTAAGTCGGAACAACTCCGCGTACGCCACGTTCTCGTTCTGTAATCACATAAAGTTTGCTTGTTAACAATTTAAAATAATAGATAAAATTAACCTTCAATTTTTTTTTTTTTTCATTCAAGATGTTCAGTAACAAGATATTGGGAAAAAATGTTTTTATTTATTCATTACAAATAATAATAAAACCAATTTAACAAAAAAATTTTACCTTCATCGAATGTTGCTAAATATTTTATGACTTCAAAATGTTTTACTTTCTTTCAATAGGAACAGATAAATTAATACACTTGAAAAGCTTTTCAAACAGAGAAACTTTTGGTTTAATCTAAATCTGAGAGTTAGAAAAATTTGTCAAAAATAAAATAAAAAAGTTAAATTAAATATTTAATGTAAAAAAAAAATTCTGCAATGGTTTGAGTTTAGAGAATAGGAATATTAATGATTTATGAAGGCTAATTTTTTTTAAAAGTAACCTCATTGTCAGTCCAAAGATTTTGGAATAAAACACATCTATATATTTACAAAAGCAATAAAAACATAATTTTTACAACTTACATTACAAATAAGAAAAATGAAAAAAGGTGATTCGCAATCAATTAATATATATTTTTATAAATAACTGTAAACTTTCGTTTTGAAAATTTATAAAAGGAGCTACCGCAAAAAATTTCCGAAAATTATGCAACCGTAAATTATAAAAGCAAATCGTTCTTTTTTTGTTGTTTTAATAGCTCAAAATGTATTGAATGGAGCAATACAGTAATTGACAGGTATGGGGATCAAAGGGTAGCGCAAAATTAAATCACAGAGGAAGGTGCGATTAAATGCTTGAATAATCCACACGCGTGCCGGCTAATTGCTCTTTATCTGGATGCGCCCGCCGGTGTTTGCGTTGATCTGGAAACAATTATTACTCATCTTTGCAGAAGCGCGCGCGCAAGGTGCTTTTGTTGGACGGAAATAGCCGGCGGGCGTTTTGCCACTTTTTATCTTTCTCTCTTCCTCGGTGAAACTTGGCGCGCGGGCACCGCCAAAGCACACGCACTCTTCCACTTTGGCAAAAGTTTATTTTCGGCAGCAGCAGAATTTCCGTGCAGTTTGAAAAAGAAAGGGGAAAAACAAACACCCAAGAAGAAATGGAGAAATAAATAAAAGTTTGCTCGCACGCCCACGAAAATTTCCGGCAAAAGTGACGTTTTGCAGGGCAATCAAAAACAAAGAATGGCACGGCTTGGAAATGATTTTATTTACATTTTTTTTTCACTGTAAGAAACCAAGGAAAAGCCGAATTTAAATTTAAATCACCATAAATTATTATGATTTAATGAAAAAAAATTTAAATTTAATAATATTTATAAATTCATTTTAATTTTTGAATGAACTTCTTTAGATTGTTTAGAATTAATTTAAACAACAAGTAAAATTGCATAAAACTTATGATGTCAAATTAACAATAAATATTAAAATTACCTGACGGGAGCCATAAAGGGAATCAAATCATAGTTCCCTCTCCCTTTTGAATTGCGGAAACGACAAGCCCTGCTTTTTTGAATTCAATTTGCGCTCCCTCTTGAAGCTTGAAGCCTTCCCGCAGCGAGAAATGACGAGCGAGCAATTTGAAAACTGCCAAACACAACTTGCAATTTCCATTAAGGACGCGCGGAAAATTTCCACTCACGCGGCGCAAAACGTGTTAATCCTCCAAATTGACGCTTTGAAGTCCCCGTGGAAACTAATAAACAATGCTGTGCGCAATAAACAAACAAATAAAAACACCCCGCTGAGCTTTCTGCTGAAAAAGCTAAAGTGGATTAAAAAAAATTAAATCAATCGCACGCGCCAAAATGTTTTCTCTCTCGCCGTGTATTCAATTAAAATTTCAAGGTGTGCGCGAGAGTGGGTCGTAAAAAAATTACGACTATTGTCGAGGGAGATGATAGCGCGTTTAATTACCTTGAGAAGTGTGGATGTGAAATTTCCGTTGATGTTGCAGCGCTTGTAGAGATCGCCGTTGAGCGCCGCCTCGTCGGCGCAGTAAATATTCGAGTCTGGTGACGTGTTGCTGATGGGCAGGAATGACGCCACCAATTGGTAGTCGGAGTCTGTTGGCAAATAAATACAAATTTGAAACATATTTTATATTCTAAACAGTCCTAATTGGAAAGATTGGATAAAATTGCAATTTTTAGCATAGTTTAGCATGTATTTTATTCCAATTTGATTAGGGCTAGATAATTATATTATAAAATATTAAAAAAAAATTAATAATAATAATAATAAATTAAAATTGCTTATGAATAAATTCAAATAAGGCATAAAAAGTTGCATTTGATTTTGAACTCTATACAATTCTTTTAAAAATAAATCTCATTTGGTGAAATTTTTATTATTACAGTTGAGGAGAAATAAATTAATAATTAATTTAAATTTTATCGTTCAAAGATTACGTTACCAATGCCAGAGAATGTGTATTTTTTACATAGATATTTTCTGTGCGGAGATTTGAGAGAAATTTTGCATTGAATCGACAAAATTTTGTTGCACAAGAGGTCCCTGAGAATAAAAAAAAATTTTACAAACCTTTTGGGCAGGGTATCACATCAGGGTTTTTGTCGTCCTTCTCGTAAAGGTCCTCCACGTGCAGGTTGATGTTTGACTTTTCTTTGATCGGGTGATCCACCAGCGAGTGGCCCATGGCGTTCTGTGACCGCAGACTCAGCGCCGCCACCACCACCACGGCGGCCAGGAACAGCGAAATCAACACGCTGATCAGAACCCCGAGAATCGAAGCAAACTCGAACGCTGTCGACATTCCTTGCGGATTTAGAGAAATCAGAATGGTTTTGGCAATACACACAAATATACAATATTAAACCGTTAAAAAATAACCAAATTTTGCAATAGAATAATGATTTCCAATTTAAATTTAGAAATGACCTGATATTGTAATAAACAACAATTATTATTTATTTCATTAAAACATCATTTTGGAAGATATTATGTCAAACAAAATTTTGTTCATATTTTTTTTACAATGCGAAATCTACTATTAAGCCCAAGAGTTGCAAATGAATAGGGTTATTTTGTTTTCTTTGTTGTTGTGCTATTATTGATTTTATCTTTACATCATAATTATGCCGGCGTGTGAAAGGAAATCAATTAATCATAAAAGGAGCAAAAAACTGGAGCTCATTTGCGCCGAGCGACTGCGCTTCTCGGGCGTGGGTGATGTTTTTACGAGGGCACGTTCACGTCTTTAAATTTTAGTGCTCTATTGTGCTCGCAGTTGTCGGAAAACAAAAGAGCACTGCACATTTCACTAGTTTGCTTGGCACTTTTTCGCTCCCGGTGAAATTAATGAGGCGCGCTCTTGCTCAATTTTCAAATTAATCATCATCCATTGTTGTTGCCAGGCACTTTAACGAGATAAGCTGACTTACGGGCCAATTAGTAATAATTGGTGAAACGTGGACGAAGCGCTCGCCACTGTTAAAAATATACGCCTTTTTCTCGTGAAAGCAAAAAATCGGAGAAAGAGAAAAGAGGAAAAGGCGAACGCGTGTAGTTGCTTCTTGCAATTAGTCAAGAGGGGTCGCTTGGCAACGGGATTTTCCGACTGCTCACTGCAAAACTGATTGCCGCAGTTTCGCCTCTTCAGGTCTTAAAATCAAACGGAAAAAATCAGACAGGAAATTAATTGATTGCGAGAAATAAATGAGGAAAACATAACTGTTTATTAATTAGTCTCTAATTGAAAGATATTATTAAAAAAAATCCTGCATTTATAGAGCAGAACAAAAATAACCGCCAAATAATATTTGTTTTAATTAATTTGTGTTTCTTGTTCACCAACAAAAGAAGAAGAAGGCCAACTTTTTCCAAAATGATACTATTAACTATCTAATTTTTGAACACAAGAATGGGGAAGCTCATTAAATAGTTCCGCGCTTTGAAATTGTTTAAAAAAAATTGTCAAACACAATTTATTTATAAAATCATCCCCTTGATTTTAATTTTTCTATACATTAAAGTTATAGATTTAAAATAAAAAAATTGTTTTTCAGAAAAGGCCGAGTTGAAAAATTAAGTTGACCAACCTGTTTGCTTTTCGGCGGCCTTGAGCGTGAATCCCTCAATGGTGGTGGTTTCGCTCTTGCCCTTGTTGTTGGCCGCGTAGATGACCATTTTGAGGGCGCGGCCCGGTTCGAGCTCGTGCACGTTGAACACCGGGTAGGGACTGGTGACGTTCCGCACCAGTTTGCCAGAGGCCTGGTCGTAGATCTCGACGAGGAAGAACTGCTGCTGGCCGCCGTCGAAGCCCTCGAGACACTCGACCTCCACCGAGTCGCTCGTTTGGTTGACGACGCTGCAGTTGTATGGCGTGTCCGGGTGGCCTGCGGGCGAAACTTAATTATATCGACTGCACCCAACGACAAACACACGCAGTCACGCACCGAAAACTGCGCCAAAGGAAATCGCCATTAAAAAGAGGAACTTAAATAATATGCCCGATCAAAAACCTCTCATGGTATGATGGGAGAAAAAATATTCAACCAGTTTTAATCTCAATAAAAGAATGCGTGAAGAGTAAAACAATCGCACAATTTTAATATCAATTATTCTATGATTAGATTCATTTCTTTTTAAATTGATTTAATGAAGTGGATTTAAAAAAAAAATGAAACCAGTGAGTTTAGTAAGTACTGTGATTTTGCCAGAAATTTCTTTGGAAATATTTATTTCATTTATTTTATATTTTCCTCACATTTCGTTTTAGTTGGACACGACAAAATCCGAGGTTTCAAATTTAATTAAGCTATTGTATTGATTCTGAAACTAAATCATATGGAAGCATTTTTGGGCTTGTTGATAACTTTAAATTTTGTATTCAAATGAATGAAATGATAATCTTACCTAATCTAATATTTGTTAATTCTTGATTTGATCAAGGAAATCAAAAAGGAACTTACAAAAGAAGGATGTATCTAATGGAACGATTCCGATTTTGAAAATTAACCTGACTGATAAAATTTTGTTCTACCAATTGTCAGTGTAAGCTTTATTTATATTTATAAGCTTTTCTCGTCTAGCCTAGCCAACAGAAACGGGGTTATTCGAGCCATTGTGCTTGGAGAAGTGCATTCAATATTGATGATAAACTTTTCTTTCCCCAGCTGACTCTCGAGTGCTCCCCAGACCGACTTGGCATGCGACTGCCTTTCATCGGTGCTGCTGTTGGGCGGTCGCGGCGCGCGATGAGTGATTTATGGCTTATTATTGCACGGCTTATTGTTCGCCTCCGCAGTGCAACGCTCAATTAATTCCCGCCCCATTTCCCACGGGCTTTCGAGCCGGAAAAACGGGAAAAATATAACAGAGCTACGGAATATTATGGAGTTGCGTGATTCGGACTAATTGGCGGCCGTGGAAATTATCGAGATTTTCATTTTCCTCACCGCGGGCTGTGAAAGCGTTAGAAGCGTGCCATGAATCTTTCTTTTTTCCTGTGGCCCTGGACGTTTTTTAATGGAACCATTGCAATGGGAATTTCAGATATTAATAAGCACTGAAAATGCAGAATGGGTGGGAATTTTTTATAAATAATTTAGGCTCTTTTCGCTGTGAAAAATATTAAAAATTGATGGTCAAAAACTTGAAATGGGTGAATCATTTAGTAAAAATGGATAACTCATTTCATTTTCGTGTAAACCACGTGTATCCGCGACTACAGAGATGAAATTAATTAAGCTGAGATTATTATTTTTCATAATTAAATTTCTTCCACGGCGGCCATGATGGTGAACTCACTCGGTCGAGAGCCGTAAAATGGAATAAATTAGCTGGGGCGCGTGATTATAAATTCGAAACGGCGCTGCGTGGAATTGCGAAAAGTCTATTAAATTTGGCAAGCAAATTAATCGGGCTCTCTCTCGCCGCATTGAAGGCGCATTAAAAATTAAAATTCCCTGACATTTGGTAATTACGCAACGCATCTGCGCTATCTTGTGGCATCTGCGATGTGGGCCGGCGGCGGCGCCCGCGGGTCCGATATTGCATGCCACGTTGTTGTCTGCCTTAATTTATTCTAATAATAGCTTTTGTATGCGCATTAAATTAACCTGTGTGAAAGACCACTTGCAGAGCCTGCAAAGTTTCGCTCGTTATTCCGCTTATTCAGCACTAACTGGCGTACCATAAGGAAAATAAATTTTACATGTATGTACATAATTAGTGACCTGCTCAGTTACAAGTTCAGATAGAAAAGTTAATTTTAAGATTTGTTACAACAACAAAAAATTTTAAAATTCTCAGTTTCCTTGTAATTAAGTTTGTCACATGATAAAATGTATGAATGAATTTAATGACTATATTTCTTTGATAATGATGAACCATAATATGTAAATGTGAACACAAGTTTTTCATCGAAACTAAGAATATAAATTTTGAGATCTTTGTAAAATATAAACATATTAAAAAGCATTAAAAAGTAATTATGGAATTTAGCATTTTTTTAAGTAGAGTATAATTGATTATTTAGCAAAAACAAATTAGAAATAATCCAAATTACTTAAAAACAATTATTAATGACAATAAATGATTAAAAATTAAAAAAAGTAATTATTACACGTAACTATAAAAAATTTTAATTAGTACAAAATAATAAATAATCATAACTAAATTTATTCAATATAGATTTCCAGTTTTGTACTAGACTTTATGATTACTTCAAATTATTTAATGGAAATTTAAATAAGCTCATTTTTTCCAGTTTCAAATGGCTTAAAACCTGTGAAATGCCTGAAATGGTTTATTTTAATGATTATATAATTTACAAATTTTTTTGGGTTATGAAAATTTTTGCAAGTTTTTGTGACGTAAAATCTTTGGATGCATTCCAAGACATTTAAACTTTGAAGACAAAAGGCGGTGCACGTAATTAGCTTATGTTTTACTGCATCGCGACACGGTTTGTTGGACGGTAAATCGAACAACAAAGCCACTTTGCCGGATCTCTTTGTCTGCGCGAATTTTAATCACCGTTGCGCTTGCCAAACTCATATCTCGGCGCTCTCGGATGTAATTTCAGAATAGTTGCCGCGGAGAGAATAGCGAGCAGAGCCATTACTGCACACAGAGACGGTGAAACTAATCTCTGCGGGAAAATGAGTCGTCCGCCGCCGCCGCTTTTTTTATCCCTCCGTTTCCTCCTCCTCGCTCTGGCCTTTGATGGATTTTCATGCTCGGACTGATTCAAACCTGCATTTGACAGTCTCTCGCGCCGACAAAATTACACACACTGCCCAGGAGCGATGAGCGAAAATCAATTACCCGCACGTTATGCACACAAAAATATGTATCACTGACGTTAATCTGATTTTGTCCGATCGATTCACAAAAGGCTTTTGATGATATTATATTTGAAAGTTGTGTTTGCGATTAATCTGCACGTCAAAAACCAGAAAGTGGGGGCGGTGTTCGGAGCCGAAATTACAAAATCGCTCACGCTAATTTGTTTACGGGGCTGCCGCGGCGAATTAAAACACAGCTCGTTGTCCGGCGCAAAATTAGGTTTGCGAAATTGGTGCTCGATCGGTGGATGGACAAAGGGGAGAGACCATAATATTGGGCATTTTAATTGAAAATGAGCGCATTGGGATATTTCGGAGGCTTAATAGATATTAATTAATAATTATTTTAGATGATTGGTCGAAATATAGAGTGTTGAATTTGAAAATCGGATATGAAGGCATTAAATTAGTTTTAAACAAATATGAGCCAAAGTTTTAAAGCTTCAATTGAACGCAAAATTGAGAGGATTTTTTTTGTTAAATATTATTAAAAAATATAAATAAAAAATTTAAAGCTTTGAACTAATATTATTAACAATTTATTAATTTTAAGAACATTTTTTATAAAATCATGTTTTGTCTTTTCCCATACGGACGTAGTCGCTGATGGAAAGCACCCGGTTTTCACATTTCTCATGGTATTGTAATGAAATTTCACTTGTATCATTTTAAATATTAAAGAATTGTACTCTGATGGGTTATTTTCAATATACAAAATATAAATAAAAAATCATCTTACTAGGAATGTTGTATTTTTATTCCGTAATCTTTCTAGGAAAAGCCTTTTGGTACTGAAATGTAAAACTCGTCTCTCTTTCTGACCTTCTTTCTTTTGTTCCCTTTGCGCGAATATTCTGTTCTCGTTTCATCTCCTCTGTAGTAAAATTATCCTCTCCGCTTTTAGAACTCTCCGGGAAATTTCATCCGCCTCTTCTAGGATGTGTGCGGTATCATTGACACGAGAGGACAAAGGCTGATATGATCGGACAGCTCGTAGAACACGCTGACACTCGCACCTGCTGCGGAGCTAATAGAACGAGACAAGTTATGCAAGCCGCACGACATCTGTGCCGAGTTGTTGCATAACTACATTGATTCACTCTGGCTCCCTTTCTCAAACAGGCGGAGAGCGTGCAAGGTATGCTCATAATATGTATATGAAATTCTCGCGAGACGGTTGGAGTTTGAAAACTGACACGGTCTCTGATCGATCTGATGGACCAAGAATTCCAATAAATAAAACCACAAATATATAAATTTTCGTTTTTTCCTGTGGGATTCGGGAAAAAAATTGAGGATGAAATAAATGTTTTGAAATGGCAAAAATTCCACCTGTTACGAATAGGACGTGAAAAGTTTTGCACTCATTTGAATGATGAAAGGCCTAACGGAAAATAGCAGATGGTTCCTCCTTTTTGAAACATTGCCGCCGAGAGGCAGAAAGACAGGAAACGTGTTCGTTTACAAAACGCCGGCCGTTATATTCGCAATTGCGAGGACGATTTATTGCATTGACGGGGCAATTTGTATCCGGCATTTTCGTACACGTGATTCAAAATTCCCTGTGTGTGTGTGTTTGGTGAAAAGCGCTGACTTTTCACTCTCTGTGCCACCGCCACTCTCTCGCGCGCGCACAAACAAAAAAGCGACGTTTCTGACAGGCCCGCCGCCGGTCGCGCTCGTTCTCTCTATAAATTTCATCAACAATCATTTGACAAAAAAGAGAGTCACGGCGCCCGACCTACATTTCTGATTGCCAGCCGAACCGAGTGAGAATCGACCAATAATTTAATGTGACAAGACTGGCTGTTGCTCCGGCGAAGCGGCGAAAAAATTCAGATGTGACGCAAATGAAGCCGTCCAATTCGTCAATTCGCGTTTTTGTTTCGTTTTCAGCGGCAGAGAGCAACAAGAGGGGGAAATAAACTTGGAAAAAAGCAGCATAAATAAACCGGCTCGCCGAGTCTGCAGAAATATTGGCTACAAAAAGCATCAGGCGAGCAAAGGCGGAGTGCGCTCGCGAGTCAACTTATCTCATTATTTCCACTAAAGGGGGGCTCCCTCGCTCTCTATTTGAAAGCAGAGAAAAAAACTGCAAAGAGATGGCTGGCTGGCTGGCGGAGAGACAGAAAGAGAATCTCGTCGGCGGCGCTGACAAGATCGCATGCCCCGAGCGCAATTTAAAAGGCCGCCGCGCGCTTTTCAAAAGCACCCAGTTGTGTCACCGAAAATCACTTGTTAAAAGTTGCCAAGTCACAGAAATGCGTGTTGAGAGACCGAGCACGCCCCTCTGCCACTCTACTTCATTCAAACATGTGTGTACACATGTTGTGGCCCTAGCACGGAATTCAAAATGTATACATTTGTACACAAGTTGTGACTTTTGTAACATGATAATAATATACTATTCATTTATTCAAAATCAAACCTATTAAGACAATCTATGGTTTTTTTTCTTCACGCCGACTACTCAGAAGCGTCACCGAAAACTCCTTGCTTGGCCAGTGTGCTGAATTGTGTCGTAATTATTTCAGTTTTTATAAATATTCGTTTAAAATTATTTAATTTTCTTTGGTTTTCTTGTCAAAGAGCATTGTAAAAATTGCTGCCAAATTATAAAAAAATAGTAAATTTTTATAAATAAATAATTTTATAAAATCTCTCTGTTCTTATAAAAAATTAGACTCTTTAAATGCAACAAACTAACTTGCTGAAAGCTTTTATTTAGTAGTGAGAGAAGAAAAGAAAAAGTTTTTCCTTGGGATGATTGTTTCGAAGCAGTTTGGAGCAAATTTGCTATTGAGCCCTGTGGGAACGCTTTGGGGTGGCAACATAAATATAATATCACAGTGTACGAAACGCATGCATGCGTGAATGTTGATATTTGCAGAGGAACGTTGTATGTAATGTACACGTACCTGCGGCTATGATGTGGAAAACGCACGGTTCCTGCTGCAGGCCGGCGGTATTAGAAGCCGAACACAAAACCGTGCCGTAATCCATCTCGCTAATTGGCTTATAAGTGAGCGTTGATCGCGAGTCCTCGGTCTGGAACTTGGGCTTGGCTACGTCGAATATTTCGGCCGTGTTGTTGAAGCTCCACTTGAAATTCTCGGCGGGCGGGTACGCCAGCACCTCGCACACCACGCTCGCCTGCTCGTTGCGTGCCACGCCGTACACGCGCTTCTGCTCAGGCTTGCAGATCGGCTTGTCTGTGGATGCGCAACGAACACTTTTAATTAACCGGCCCCAAAATGATTTACCGACTAATAAACGAATAATTGAACTTCTACCGCGCCCCGAGCCCGGCCGGGGAACAACGCCAAGCTCATGCTTTTTATCCTCACAAAGTTGCAAAAAAGAAGGTAAAAATTTTAATTACCATCCAAATTAAGTATATAACTCGCTCAAATAAACTCACTCAGGAGCAAACATTTACAAAATTTTGGTATTATAATATTAATTTCGTTTGAGGATGGTAACATAAAACAAAAAAATCAAAGAGAAAAACAAAGAAGATCTCATAAATTGCAAAAAAAACTGTCTTTTATAAAATCTATTTAACTTTTAAAGGAGACTAAATTTATTTTTTTGTATAAATACAAACTTCATCAGCTTGTTCCTCTTAATGAAAATCTCCTTGTGCCCAACATTTTTTACAATTCGCATCTTTCTGCAAAATGCTCTTCTAATAATAAATATTTAACTTTGTTCTTGATGTAGTGTTTGTGTAACTTGGCGACTCGAGTGCAAAAGATTGAAACTTGTAAACAGAGATGCCATGTTTTGAGCCTCTTGAGTCAATAAAGAATGAATTTAATTCCATATATTGCCGCCCACACACCACAATGTTAAATAGCATGATGTTTTTGGGGTAGAATTTCACATGCTATAATTAAGGCATTGACAAATTAAAACAAACTGATATTTTGTTTGCTGCCTGGGACAAAAAAATTACCAATCAACTGATTTATTGAAAAAAAAAATCCTTTATATTTCTATTGAAGTAAAAAAATAAAATAAACCACTTTTCAAGGGCGAGCAACACCCTTTCCCTGAACAGGTATTTATCTTGCAAAATTTGATAGTAGCATAGAAAATCATAAGGATTGTGCAATTAAGGGGACGTGAAAATTTAATTTTCTTTTTAAATAGAAAGGTGATTTAATAAATCTCTGCTAGTATTCTTTTTGCTTATTTTGTTCCCCTACATTTAACTTTTATTATAAGTAGAGTACAGAATAATATTATCAATAGACAATAAAATTTCAAATTCCACTACCACTATTCTGTTCTTTTTACTCTCTCAAAATAGGTTGAAAAAATATGAAAATATATTAAATAAAATAGGGAAGGAATTAAAAAAAAAACGCTAAACTTATATCCACTATAATTTGAAATTAAAAATCTTGCCAAATTAAACATACTTTTCTATCTGGAGTAAAAGTCGGGGGAAAAAAGCATCTCCGTTTAAAATTTTGCCTGTGGCGACGGAAAAGCCAAAGGGTAATTGCGCGCGATCAGAGGGATTAGCCCTCTATATCACTTAATGGGCCTTGGACTAATTAATATCAGTTTAAATGGAGATCAGGTCTGGCGTGGTTCCCCTTCCGCTCTCGGCAAAGTTAAATACAGCACATGCGAATAAATATGGGTCTATTCTATACTCACACATGACGCGCAGCTCGACAACGTTGCTCTCGCCGTCGCCCTCGATGTTGCTCGCCGTGCATGTGTAATTTCCTGCCTGCTGCTTCTTCACCCCCTGCAGAGCCAGATCTCCGTTGCTCATTATAACGCCGCTCTTTTGGTTGTGAACCACCACTTGACCCTGTTTGGCAACACACGAAGGAAAAACTTAGTTTAATTTGGCCCACGCTCGCTCGCAAACAGTCCAAACAGACCGACACAGACGGAAAAGCAGGGGCAAGGGCAAACAAACAAAACAACTCGGCGGCGGCGGCACTTTATGACCGGCCGGGCTATATAAGAAACGCAAAAACATTTTAGCAGCTCTTGGTCACGGCCGCCACCTTATCGTTGAAAATAAACCACAGCAATATTATGGTATATGTACAGGCAAAATTTATTATTATTATATATATTTTTTTTAAATTTTGTTACTTTATATATTTTAAAACTCTCATAAGAAGTGTCTTGAAATTCTGCATTTTATTTTTATTTTACAGAATGAGAGTTTTAAATTAATTTTATTTCAAGGGTCTTGAAATATTCAATAATTCTAATTGGAAGTCACATGATTAGTCAATGTTTGCAGAATGTTGCAATCTAAGTGGAAAATTATTCAATCAACCAACATACAAATTAAACATTAATAAATCAAACTAAAACGCAATGATCTGTAAAAAAATCTCTTTTGAATTTTCTAACAAGATTTAGAACAAAACACAGTAAAAATAATTGAATATTACAGAAAAAGTAGAAATTTATGAAAAAATATTATTAGAAAAAATAAATATAAAATCTGATTCATATAATATAAATACTAATATTTTGCATTATAAATTAAAGATTTTTTGTAATAAAAAAAGAATAGTAGTGCACTTTGAGGAATGAAAAACAATAAATTTCAACAAGGAGCGAGGAGCCCGTTTTGTCCAGCCAGGTTTGTAGGTGAACTAACGCACTTTAAAATTCAATTTCCATCGAACTTTTATTTGGTTTTATCAAAAGCTGGCCGTTGGTGGTTTTTCAAAGCGGATTTGGGCCCTTTTCCGGCGACTGCAAGGCCAAAGTTTGGCGTTGGAAGCAAGTGAGTGTAGCAGTGGCCGTACATCCGCACACAAAGCAAGAGGGGACCGAGGTTGGCCGGAGCGAGTGAATGGCAATTGCCATTATTACAATAACCGCGCCCGTGAACCGCTGCTGCGATGAACATGTGCCCGAGTTCTCTAGGCTTATTTCGATCCGCTCGCCCTGGTCTCTCTCCCTCTCTCTCTCTCTCTCTCTCTCTCTCTCACTCAATTTTGTTGTACCCCCTTTGTACACTTGACAACCGCAGAACGCGCGTTCTTTGCTAGCTCTTGATGTTGTGCAAACAAATTATGTGCACGTTCGCTTTGATGGACTTCATTAGACGCAGCGCGCGATATACATATGCGCATGCACATATATTCGCCGTGGTTCGTCTAATTGAGAAATAAACTCGCCCGCCGGTTTATTACGTCCTATAATCCGCAGCTCTCGGCACGACCGGGGCGCTAACAAGTTTTCGTCCGGCCGTCAGCCCGCCCGCTAGTCGGTAATTGCGTACGTTCGTACTCAGCTAATTAATGCACGGCTCGACATTATGACCTCGACGGCAGAGCATCATTTGCATTTTCTTGCCGGCAAAAGAGCCACGCTGGATATTAATCACTGCTCGCGCGCGCAATTCCGTCAAAGGATCACGGGGATGCCTTCAATGCGGGGGCCAGGTTCAAATTTCATGCAAATACGGGAGAAGCAAATTTTAAACGCGAAACATAACAGAAGGTTAATTTTTCTAAAGATGCGGAATAAAAAATATTGTCACAGCGTAACATAGCGTTCGTTTTTACGTTAAAAAATATATATCTGTATAATAATCCACTTGCAATGCGCTGGAATTAATGTTTGCAAGGCTAGACTTCGGAGAAGCGGAAATAAAAAAAATAATGATCTCATAAATATCTTGAAAGACGAAATAAGTTACAATAGTAAATCGCTGACTAAATTTAAATAGTAGTAACTCATTTATACAATAATTAATATTTTTTTAATTTGTCAGCTTTTTATTGTGTTAATAAAAACAACGTGATTTTGTATGAATAATCAACTCGCCACTTGTAGTATTTAATTAAAGATAAAAAAATTACCATAGAGGTTTTTGAAGTTGTCGTTACATCAAGAAATTCATAAAAAATAATAATTAATTCCCGCAAGTGCTACAAAATTGAAAGTTTAGTAAAAAATGTATCTTATACTTTAATTGCAAAATGTGTTAATTTATCTATCTAAAAAACGCAATTGTTGCCTCTTAGAGGGATGCTTTCATTTAAATTCGTTCAAGGCACCGTAGAAATTGAACAATCCCTTGATATAATTAATAGGCTCACCATTAGCTGTAACTTTCCATCACTATTACCAGCATCTAGCGTAGTTTCTGCACTGTTGTTACAAAATATTATTTTAATTCTGTTGAAAGAATTTGAAAATTTGGTTTCAGGTCTAATGGGTCCAAAACTTGAATTTAAAATTTAAGATTTAGAATGAAAACCCACGATTGAATGCATTGTTACTTCAAAATTCCCCAAAAATAAAAATACATTGTTAATCTGTACCAATAAAAGCTTGTAGAAGATTGTGAGAGCCAAGTTTTATCGCTTTTCTCAGAATTGAATAAGTCATTAATTCAAGCAGGGTAAAAATTTGGAATATATTAATGAAGAGACGTCATTCTTATGCGAGATACAAACTTTTAATGTGTTGGTTCTCAGAAATCGATCCGGGCCCCCGCTGCAGACGGTCTCTCGCTGTGTATTAATTATTCGCGCTCGTTTGTTTCTCTGCCCCGGTACGATGCAGCCGTGTATATATTAATTAGAAAATGAGACAGCGAACGAAACGACTGCTAATATTGCACTTGAGCAGCAGGCAGCGGCAGCAGACAAAACAAATTTCCTCCGCTCCCTCGCATCCACTTATTTTCGAGTAAGTCGAGCGCAAAAAAGAAACTGTATGTGCGGCCCATCGATCTCTGTCTGCGCCACTACGTCTTCTAAATTTGAAGTTTTCACAAACAGTTTTTCATTGAATTTGTATTCGCGGCTTCCTTACGCGCGTCAGGGAAGAGACGCGAACACAAATTTTATGACTTAATACCGTCACCGTCTTCTTCCCTCGCCATTGTTATTAAATTTCGCGAGCGCGACACGGTGGCGGAAGAGAGAGCGAGAGACGACGTTATTTTCTTTGCACACACACACACCCTCACACGACGCGCAATCGCGGCGATCCATCAAGCGCGGTGTAAACAAATGGAATGATTAATCGAACAACCGCAGCACATAACAGAGGCTTGTGTCTTTTTTAATTAATTTACGAGGCAAAATAAAAACAAATTCACTTGCATGTTATTCACGGGGCGGATGAAATAATGCACGACAATAACTTATAATTAATATGACAGGGGAGACAATAACACCAGAGAAAGATTAAGTGGATTCGCCGGGCTGAGCCCTTGGCGGCGGGGGTGCCGCCGGCTCTGATATTGAAAAGGGGCGCACACTGTATTACGGCCGAGTAAGCACTCGCGACGACAAGCCTTTATATGAATGTATGCAATCAAGAGCGGGCCATGCATGCTATTAGAAAAGGTGCGCGCAGGGAGTGCAAATATATATTAGAACAGGTCCCTTTGCTTTCTCTGGCCGTCGTCGTCGAAATCTTTCAACTCTCGAGACCTAATGGGGTGGGCGGGTGGGGGGGGGGGGAGGGCGGCTTGTTACACGGACGCAGCACGAATATTAAAGAGATTAATGAGCTGTATGAAGGGGCGAGGTTGATATAGACAGCCGAGTTTGGCAAAACGTAGCCAAAGTGTGTGTGTGTGTGTGCCCGGGCTCGCCTACTGCCCGCCCGCCCGCCCGCCTGCCGTGATATATGAAAGGAAAATTCAATATTCTTTGCCTGCTCCGGAGCCGCCGGAGCACAATGGAAGAAGAGATACACGGCAGCGAGCTTAATGCGTAGATGAGAGTAAAGAAAGATGAGAAATGTATTCTCGGCGCCGCACGCCGAGCTGCTCTCAAACGAAAATGAACCATCATCAATTCACCATAAGTATGCGTGGGTTCCATGCCGAGACACACTCACACACGGGAAATCGGAACTAATAAATATTCACGGCGCTAAAAACCACTTCTGCATAACAATTATTTCTACCTGCGGATTCTCTATAGAGTTGTTGATTTCCTTGCACCAAAATCTGTTTATGTTATTGAGCGGATTATGAAATTTAAAAAGAACCAGATTTTTTATACAAATATATTATGACTTGGTTGCAATAGCAATATAGCATTTTAATTTCAATATATAGGCTCCTCTAAAAAAATATAGATGGAGTTTCGTTTTTCAGCTCTCTTCGATTTAAAATTGAATCCTATTATTTTAGTGACTAAATACAAAATAACTATCGATTTTCGTCAGAATTTTGCATACTGAATTTCAGAGCTGCCAACCCCAAAAAACATAGTCTCAAATTTTAAAGCTTTGGTACTTTGAGAAATGGTACTCCGAGAGCATGTACTTGCAAATTCATAATTTAATTATAATATAATATATTAATTTTAAATATATATATTTTAATTTTTTTATAAAAAATAAAATGAATACAAATTTTAAAATAAAAATTTCGATAAAAAGAAACTCTTTTGACTACAAAAAGTTTCAAACAAATATTTTTACGAATAATTATTCATAAGAATCATAAGCTTGCTTTTCTCTTGAAAAATTCTAGCGATAATGCTCATGCATATATATAAAGCAGAATATTGTCTTTTCTTTAATTAAACACAAGCAGAAGACACAACAAAGGCTCCTCGAATAGCCGAATTTCAATCACGAATCCATCTCGATTGAAACTTTTTCATCAAAATTAAGTAGTCTTGGCAAAACATGCATTATTACGAAATCTCTAATCCATCCTTATATAGAGCCTGTAAAAGTTCATCTCAACTTTTTAAAGTTTATATCTTGGCAGCTGATAGTGGAACAAAATTAGTTATTACACAAGTTAGAGTTTTATGGACCTTTTAGATTGTGAGTTATGGCAAAGCAGCCGCTCGGCTCGAAGCACAGGTTTATTGAATGTCGATTTTGACGAGTTTGATGTGTAGTGCAGAACGACGGCTCAATAAGCAAAGCATAACCTGCGCGTTGCCTGACGTTGCAAATCTTTTCAGTCGCTTTTCCGCTCTCGCTTATATTGTGCTGCTGGCAGCTGCAGCAAAGCGCCCGAGCGTAGCCGCCGGAAAACAAAAAGTTAAGACGCGCGCAAGCCCACTTTTCATCATTCATTCCACCGGCGTTTCGCTACCCCCCGCCACCCTTCTTTTATCATTTCCCCTCGCGCTTTCATTCGCCGGGAATTTAATTACGAGCTGCTAATTTACTCAAAACAAACGAAATTTTTCGCTGACAAGAATTCGTTGCAGATCCGCGCTTTTAATTTGCCCCGGATCTTCTGTCTGCTTGCGTTGTAAATCAAATCTGACAGTTTCGCCTCCGTGTCCGGCCTGTGATACGCCGAGATTTGACATTCGCCGAGACAGATCAATTGCACTTAAGTGGAGAAATATCTGGCGTAATGGCGAAATGGCATGTGCGCAGCGACCGCAGGGCTTTCGTGACCGCTCGCTTGAACGCGCGCGCTCCGGTTGTGCTTTTTTCTATTTATTATAACCAAAGAGCACAAATGAAATTGCGACCATTGCGTCCAAACAGCCCGTCAGACAATGATAAATATCCAAAATGGAACAAATTTGAGCTCGGTATCATTGAAATATATAGTGCGGAATGGAAGGAAAATATATAAAAACAAAACAGAATGGATGATTCAACATGACATGCATTAAGCTGGGCTCCAATTCTGTAAGGGGAATTTACCGTTCTATTTTTAGCCTTACCCACTATTCTACCTCAGCTAAAAGATATAAGTTTTTTACTTTTAACAAATAATCAAAAAAGGTAGGTATGTTTATACTCGGAAGAAAAATAAGGGAGTATCTTTGCATCTGCTGAAATTATTCGCAATAAACGAATGTCCTTAAAAATTATATAATTTTGAAAATAAAAAAATAAATAACATCAAAATAACTTCATAATCCTATTTTTGCAAACATTCATAATAAGTATAAGGAATTTCAGATTTTATTCTTAAGGAAGTTCACTTTTGCAAACGCCCGGTCTGTTCCACAAAATACAAAAATATCTTAAATTAATTCAGCCAAAATTTAAAAAAGCACACACGACTCGCTCACACAATCAACATAATCTCATTCAAGCAACAACATCATTAAAGCAAAAAATAAAACTTTTAACTGCTCCAGATTTCAGCCATTTTACACCAAAGTTTCCTCTTACGTGTTTGTTGCGCTTGTTTCATTGAACATTGAATCGAATCAATAGCAAAATTTCCGGCTGATTAGGGAGCATTCCATTAGCATTGCGCACATAGCTCGTTGAAGAGAACGAGTAGGAGGCGAGCTTATTTTAAACTACACCCGAGGCAATTAGTTATCCAGGCGTGCATAATTTAATAGTAAACGATGCCAGGCAGGGAGGAGCAGCCGGGAGCCGAGATTTTTTAATATGAGAGAGCAGCAGAAATTCGCTGAATAATGTGCAGAAAAAATTCGCTCGGAAAAGCTATTCAACGCGAGCAGCTGTCGAAAGGAGCAAACGCTATTACTTACAAAGAGGCAACGAAAAAAAAGATATAGAAAGAGAGAGAGACGCTGGTGCCTTTTTATTGATTATTTATCGCACGCTTAAACTGTTTACTGAATTGAAAAAATGCAATTGAGTGTGCTTAGGGATAAAATATATCTACGGGAGTGATGCTGGTGAATAAAACGCGGCAGTTGAGCGGCGCGGCACTCGCAACACGCATTCCACATGCAAATTGGCTGTTGGCAGAACAATCATTCCATCCCGTAGAGTAGAAAAATAGCGCCGTTGCCGCCGCCGCCGCCGCTGATGGTAGTTTATAAATGTGTAAAGGGCATGTGCATGCAGAGAATGAAGGAGAACGAGCCAAGTGTAAATCGCATTTTGCTTCTCCACTTTTCCATATGCATGAGTCTTAAGTCGTCGACGCTTCGACGGAGGCAAAAAGAAGCACGCGGTATAAATTTGCACTGCGAGCAAGGCAAAATATTATCGTTGCGAGAACGCGAAAATTAACAGCCGATGTTGCTCTCTCTCTCTCTCTCTCTCTCTCTCTTGCTAGGAAAGTTTCTCGTCGCGCGCCAAGTGGGCTGATTTGTAACTTGAATTAATACGCGTGTAATTTATGCCATAATAACGGCGCCGGAGTTAGAGAGAAATCGTGGAACGAGTTTAGATTGAGCTTGAGCACTCTTGCCGTTTGTCAAGTTAATTGGACTTGCTGGTTCGGAGTAAGTGATTTCTGCCACGATAGATAATGTAGCTCTCCTTTTATTTAGCTTTGTGATTTTTGAGTTGAAACTATTAATATTCCTCTCAGTAAATAATTTAATAATTGAAAATTTTGACAAGATTACTTTTAACTGTAACAAATTTTTCTGAGCATTACATTAATTTTGTAAGCAGTTAAAAAAATAATGACGATTAAATTATGGATTGCGGTAGTTTGTAATATATTGAAATAATAAATAATAACACAGTTATAAATGACATGAAAATTTCTTGACTGTACAGTCTAGCTCCGTTTGAGTTTTCATGGTGGCATAAACTTTGAATTCAATTTGCAGACCGCAACTTTGGCGAAGAAATAATTTAGCGTGTGCTTGTTTGCATGCAAGCGCACTCATGTAATTACACTTTTTTGTTGTCCTCTCTTTGCAATTCGGGCACTCTCTAGGCTGCCAGTTTTTGTGTATGTGTGTGTTTTATTTTTCCATTCCGCTCTTTAGTTTGCATACAAATGGAAAAACTTGGTCAAATCCCACACAAAAGAACTTGCACGCAGACAAACTGAATACAAATGCCGCCCGAGAGAGAGAGTATGTTTATATAGGCATTAAAATTTTGCAGTAAAACAAAAAAGTCGCTAGCAAAATATAATAAAAACTAAAAAAAAGTCGGTGGCGAAAGCAGGCCGGCCGGACGATTTCATCACAGCGGCGAAAAAAAAGAATCGAGGCCGCGAACGAACAATGCAGTTATTCATCCATCCACACTGGCGCATTTTTATTCCTCTAGAGGACACGCGGACGGACGTGGGTGGATGGGTGGGTGGGCGAGCGAGCGAACGATATTTTGCACTGCACGGATAGGGTGTTAAAAAAGTATAATGCTTTCAGAGTAATTAAAAATTCCCTAGCAGAGAGTGGTAATGCGCGCAACTCCCCAGTCAATTCCGGTGCTAACGCGCGGGTAATTCGAGAAGCTCACAGGGGAGATCCGAGGGAGAGAAGGAGTGAATAGAGCAATTCATTTGACACTGTATACACAATACGCCTGCGAGATCCAATCAGCAGACTCTCTCTTTCCCGGGGAGAGAGAGAGAGAGAGGCCCTCAATCGGCCCTGGTCCTTGATATATAACTGAGCAAGGTTGTTGAATGAAAGAGAGTCTGCGGAGGAGGGCGGCGGGAGGGGCGGACGGGTGGAGGACTCATCCTCTCATCTACCGGGCTATAAAGTATTCTTTTCATATCTTGTTTACCCCCGGGAGATACAACACAACGGAGTGAGTGGTGCACTTATAATTACGAAAGCAAGCGCCCCAACCGGCAGGTCTTTATTTTTCCACCCTTTCCTCGACGGCGCAGGCAGGCAGCCCGCCCAACACGCCGACGCGCGACACCTACCCTTGCTTTTTCGCGCGTATAAAACACAAACAGAGAGAGAGACACACACACACAGTGGAATTAGCGCAAGAAAGAAGGGGTTAAATGTGTATATATACGTACGTTGTGCTTCCACACCACCTTGTAGGCAATCGGGTTGGCGTTGACTTTGCACTCGAAGTAGACGTCGTCGCCCTCCTCGATGTCCTCCGGGTTGAGACTCGATCCCAGCGCCAGTTTGACGACGGGCACATCTGCAACGCGGATTTAAAGAGAAGAGAGGAGTCAATCGGGTCTCCAACTTTTCGCATGGTTGGGTGCGAAGAACTGCACTGGGGGAGAGCAAAATCACAGAGCGGCGGCGAACAAAATTCCTCGGGCAGGCCAAGTTTATATCGAAAGAATGCGCCTTCTCGCCCCAGAGCCCGCCCGCCCGCCGCTTCTGTTGATGCTTTTATGTGTATTGTTCGCCGCCGCCACTGCAGAGGAATTTATGTTTCTCGCGAAAATGACAAAAGTTGTTTTTTTCCTTCTCATTCGTCTCTGCGTTTGCCCAGCAGCTGCTCTATGGATGTTGGAGGGAGATGTGCTTGGAAAGTCCGATATTGCGAAACAATCTCGAACAACTTCCTATCGTTTTCTTGGAATATATTTGGAAAAATGAATACATCAAATCTAAATATTTCAAAGAATTTTTTTTCAATCAACCCATAAAATATGCACTGAGGATTCATTGGCGTGTCATCTCCATCTCCACACAGATTAACATAATTGGACAGTTTTGTTTGGACACTTTCAAATTAGCCCAAACTTCATAATTAAAAAAAAAAACCTGAAAGATCTTAATTTACCAATTCCAAGAAATAAATAATAAAGTGTTTTTAACCGCGGTTTAACTATGAAACTAAAAAAAAATATTGGATTCCTTACCAAAAATTTATCAAAATCCTGTTTTATGGAATTTAGATTTTTTTCGAATAGATCGCCTAGCTTTAGTAAAACTTTGGCACCCATATTGGATATTTTCCAAAGCTTTTCTCCCTTCAATGTCTTCTCAATATAGCAGCTGGTGGTAGTGTGGCGATCGACTTTGTGTGTTTGACAGCGACACCGGTTGTTGGTGTTAGTTGGGAAGGGACGGATTGAACGAAAGAGCTATACAAGGAAAAGCAGAAAGTTGGCAACTTACAAAAAACGTTTAATTTCCAAGTGTCTTCTTCGACCCCAGCCTGGACGCGGGGATTATCAGCGCGACACGTAATAGTTTTCTCGTGATCGATCATGGTTGGGGTGAACTCCAGGGTGGAGGTTGTCATGTTGCCGTCCGCAGACACCTAATGAAAATTTCCAGCTGTACAAGACCAATAATAATAACACCAACACATCCGCAAGAATGTATTTCTGCTCGCCGCAGAGCAGAGAAAGAGAGAGAGAGAGGCAGGGGGGCGCATGAACGAACGCCACGCGGGGTATTATCGGCGTTTGTGCGGCGCGGTATAATATTGTGCACAGGCGGCAGCACACCGCCCCATTTACTCATTTTATCATTAGCAATAAATCAGTGGAGAGCGGACCGCAGCTTTTCACTCATGAATTTACACGTTTATTTTGTCCACGCATGCACTTTCCTTCTTGCTCTGCGGGTTGCCGTGTCGGTTGAAAAAAAAATATATAAATGCACACACATGTATGTACACAAACTTTTCCGAATAAAAGCAGAGAGCTAAGAAATAAGTCGGAACTTTTATTGCATGATGGCATGACAATTTGGACTTTAATGAAAGCATTCGGAATATGTTTGTGATTTTATTGCCTTTTGTCGGCTGCACAGGGGCAAACGATCGTTTGCGAAGCGTTATTGCGCTACTTTGTACCGCGGCGGGTTAATGCAAATACGGACAGACACAAAACGAGCAGCAGCACACTTTTGCAATATTCCGCGTATCCGACGGAAGAGCGGCTTTAAAATGAAAATATTCGCCACTTTCGGCTTTGCAAGTAGCATAAAAAGGCTTACAAGTGGTCTATAGAGCACTGAATATTGAGTGGGGCAAAAGCAACTTGTACAAAGTTAATAAAGATTGCGAGGGAATATTAATCGGAGCTCGCTCCTGCTCGAGATGGGTTTCTTTCGCGCAGATCAAAAGGGGCCGCCGAACTTGAAATATTATGACGGCGGATGGAAAAAGAGGGAAGCGCGCGTCTCTTCTCGCGGGCCTGCGAAATCCATTTCGTCTCCACCATATACGAATAATCGCGAGAGGAGAAATAGCGGCACTTGTTAGAATAAATTGCTTTTTTTATCTGGCGCGCGGTTTGATAAAATATCAGAGATGAAATCTAGAGAAAAAGGAGAGGTGTCATCTTTTAACGAAGGAGACCGTTTTAATATCAGGGCTTATTTCCCGTGCTGGCTTTAAGAAGCAGCGACCTTTTCACCCTCTCTCTCTCTCTTTGCTGGCCGGTCGATGTCGTCGGTCGGGGCGAACACCCCCTTGAATCATAACATCGACGAGCAGGAAACAAGTTTTCGTCGAGAGAGAGAGAGAGAAGATGAGATAAGCTGCTCGCTCGCAAATGGGATGTGTGCCCCCTCTAAAAAATAATTGTGCGACTGTGTTTCACACATGCGCCCTGTCAGGTCGCATCTCTCAAATATCGGATTCAGGCGGTGTAGAGTGCCCTCGGGCACGCAATTTCGTCCCAAATGGAACGCGCATCAGAACCCATCAAATTGACACACAGGCCCGGTCGGAGAGTGCAGAGTGCCGAGCAAATTAGTCCTAATACTGCTTAATTTGGTTAGGCTGGCTGCCGTCCACGGTGGATGGCGGAATTTAATAAAGCTGCAAAATACACATAAATAACATGTGACACTCGACATTCTCTCTCTGCATACTAAACAAGCACTGCCGAGGAAGAAGCTGCTCTCTCGACGGTGCTTATGCCGTTATTAGCGAGGCACAAACATAATAATCCACCCCTACTGCCTCTCTCTTGAAAGTGCAAAAAGCAGGGAGAGCGAATTCCAGGGCGCATACCTTTTCCGTGTAATTTTCCAGTTTTTTGTTGTCCTTCCACCAGGAAATCTTGGCAGGGGGCCTCGAGCCGACGGCCTCGCACACCAACTCGTACTTCCTCTCGGCGGAGAGCGGCTGACTGCTGCTCAGAATGCTGGCACTAATGGGTTTAACTGAAACACAGAGAAGATGCAAAGCGTTTTATACTCGCAACCTGCTCACGGGTGTTTGGATTAAATTTTATTCAAATAATGTTCCGCAATGTAAACACCACTTGCTCTCTCTCTCTCATCAAAAACGAGAGACGTTATTTTTGGGGCCGCCCCGTGCGAAACGGTACGAGCAGCACCAATATTGTTTTTGCATATATACTGCAGAGTGTACGTGAATTCGAAGCAGCTCGTTTCGCCAGAATGATACAAGACGAGCCTAACGAAACTGCCAAGGAAATGGAAAATCTGTTTGTGAAGCCCTTTTGCTCCGGCTGCTGCTCTCCTCCGAGGGGCTGTAATCAATTTCTGCTCCAGCTCGCATTGTTTTCCCTTCGCCGACGGCCGGATTCCTCCAAAAGATACCGCCCGGCCGTCTTGCTCTTGCATTCCTCATCGCGCGCGCAAAGGCTTATTTTTCGCCCCCGACCGGCCGAGAATTGTGTTGTGTCCGGTCATTCCAAATGCTTCTCCGGAGAGCGTTAATATCCTGAAGTGACTTTTCCAGTGGTTGAACTGCTGAGCCCGATAATCCTTTGAAACTTTTCGTGGCAGTCTGTTATTGAATGGAAAAACGCGTCCTGCACGTCCCCTCATTTCAGATAGGTTTGCTGCATTGACAAGAAAACGATCGCAATCTGGCTAAATTTGTTGACCTTTCAACCCACCAACTGATTAAGGCATAAAAAGCAAAAAGTAAAAAAAAATCCCGCCTTCTTTTGCAACATTAGAATAAAGGAATTCTAAAAATATATAGCAAATTATAATATTAGAATCAGAAAATAAAAATATTTTTAATCCATAAGGCGGTTATGTCAGATTGCTCAGAGAGGAGTGGAGTGAGGCAGTTTCTATGTGTGATCAGAATGAAAAAAAAAACAACAAGCCGAGTTAATTTATTTATCTTTTTTGCTCCCTTTAAATAATTTTTTAATTTGATTATAAATGTTTTATGAATTTAAAAAAATTAATTCAAGCTGTGGTTTGAAGTCTTGATACATTTTCAAATAAATAACTTATTGTTAGGAGTAGAGCACATTTTTTCTTGAAATTTGAAGAGCGGATCAATGATGTTGTTCGAAGAACGGCAGAGTTGAGCGGAAAAAGTTTTGCAACTGAGGTTATAATTATTACATAATAATACCTTCTAAACATATTTCTGTTCAGGACAAAAATTTCACGCGCAAAACGCACTTCTTAAATATAAAAAAAAAAAATCCATGAAAGGGCAGTAAATTAAAAAAAATCTTTTTTTTCTGGTGAACTTATCTTAAAGGCCTTTCCAAAAATTACAGGGGACAACTAAATAGCTCTGGCCGGAGCTTTACAATTGACGTCAAGTATTTAATCTCCGTCCTGCGACCAAAAAATTTGGTTCACCGAGACAAGCCCCCACAGAACCAAATTAAGCACCTTACAAAACCACAAGAACGCAATACCCGAAACATGGCAGGGCTCGTGGAAACCCAATAACACCCTTCACAAGTTCCCACGTCGTATCTTAGTTAATTACACGCGCAATAATTTACATTTCATTATCGATGGGACCCTTCAGCTCGGTACGCGTAAATTTTCCCAACAGCACCAGCAGCAGTCGGTCTCGAAAGTTTGCGTCGCGCGGAGTGAGATTGCACTCGAAATTAATTGGTTCGGAGAGGAAGTTCCTTAGGATTTAGGCCGCGCGCAGTTCAGGTTGGGTGCGCGCAACAGCTCCAGAATGGATAGCGAGTGAAAGAGAGCAAAACAGGGCTGCAGAGATAGAAAGGGAGAGCTCGAGATATATACTTACAGTGCATTTCAAGGGAAACTTTGGCGAAGACGGGCTGACTGATGTTGTTATTGGAGGCTTTGCAGGTGTACGTTGCATGCAGATCCGCCCTTTCCAGCCTCCGCACGTAAAGCTGATTTTGTTTCACGTTGGGGAACGAGCTCTGGACGTCGACCGAGTCGACGAGATGATCGTCTCGCCACCATCTTATGCTTGGCGTGGGTTTGCCTGCGAAAACACACAGCCGGTCTCTCTTTTAATAAAATGAACGATCGCACAGAAGAAGAAGAAGGAAAAAAAGCAAAAGGGGCAAGGTGCCGCAATGGCTGCGAAAAGAAGAGACACTGGATTTGAATACCTAGAGCCGCAGAGAGAAAGACAAAGGGCAAAAAATATGTATTCGCGCGCGCGGTGGCGGTGGCGGCACAAGAGGTTTGATTGCAAAATCAATAAATTTGGCCATCTAATACTCCGACCGCCGCCGACCATTCTTTTCATGAATTCACCCTCGACCACCGCGTACATTTATGGAATAAAATATCAGTCGTAATGCAGCCGAAGGGAGATTTTGAATACTAAAACGGGCGGTCTGCCGCTCGGGTAAAGATAAAGGGCCGTTGTTCGAAAAGAAATCGCCGGTCAGTGCAAATAAAAACAAAAATTTAGATTTGCATTTTAATATTTGATAAATTCTTGGATATTAGGAAAACCTCAAAATTTTTAACATAAATAATTAATTTTATAATAAGTACTTGAACCAAATTTAGATGGAGTAATTTTATTTTACATAAATATTGTGAAAAAATTTTAAAAGCTAGAAATAATTTTAAAAAAGAACCAAAAATCCGGTATTTATTGCCCTATTATGATTATTATTATTATGATTTCCCTGCCACTAAAACCATTTTAAATTTGTGCAAATTTCATTGAAGCAAATTTCGTTTCCGTAAAGTTTTAATTATATGCTTCAACTATTACTGCAAATTTCCGCACAAACTGCGGAAATTCCGCTTGAAAATAATTGAATTTCAGATGAATTGCAGCGACCCGTGCAGCGGGGAGAGGATGAAAGGGCGCGCACCTTGCTCGTCCTCTCTCTACATACTCAATTATGGAAAACAAGATTCCGTGTCGGAATCAATTAAACATGCGACTACTCACCACCAGAGACGATGCAAGTTAGTTTCAGCTCGGCGCCCTCCTCGTACGGCCCGGCGACATTCTGCACTTCCTTTCCTCGCTCGTCGACAATGTTGGGTTTTTGGGGCTGAACTGCAAAGTTATTAATTATTGATGAGTAAGTTTGTCGTCGCGCGTACGCCGAGTAAAGAGCAAATATCTCGCAGGCAGTGACCCTCGTCCGGCAGAATTAACATCTGTATTCAAAGCGCATTACCGGCAGCAAACCGTCGACCCTTGCTAAATACACGCCGCGCCGCCATTGTGTCTTGTTCAACAATGAAAACTTCATCCCCCATTGTGATTAAATCGTGAGGTAGGAACAACCGCAGCACTCTAATTATTTGATATTGTATCTCTCTTCTGCTGCTTTCCGCCGCACTCCAGCAGCCTCTCTGATAATAATAAGGTCGGCCAGTTTTGCAGGGGGCGCCAAAAGAAGATTTTATCTGGACGCAAACTTTTGAAAGTTTCTCGATAATTTCTCAACTTTATGGCGAGATTAAAGAAAACTATGAAAATATACGTTGGAACACTAAATAATTTTACTTCAGTAACAAATTTTTGTAAAAAAACAGCATCAGCGTTCACGCAGACGTTTGATTGTAAAATTAATATAATAACTGTTGGATATTGTTAATTGCAGTGTGAAACAATAATAATATGATAATTTTTTTATTAAGAGAAATTGAGGTTTGAAAAAAAATTTGGGTGAAGAAGTTGGCATATTGAAGTAGAAATCATAATTAATATAATAAATATGTATTTATTGTCATATTTATTAAAAAGAAAGAATTATCCAAAAATAATATATTGGGAAAATGTTACATTGCTTTTAATGCTTAATTGGATAATAATTGTAATTTTCTTTATTTCTGAAGGTGACTTGAAGATAAATTTTTACTTGGCAAAATATTAAATTTGCATTAATTCTTTAAGACATTCGGAGAAATTCTAGATATTAGCAAAAAAAGCCACTAAATTGTAATAATTTGAGCAATGACTTAAATCCAACAAAGCTTGTATAAAAGCTTAATTCAGAAGCTGACACCGATTGACACCGATAAAGCCAAATTGGCGGCCACGTTGACGATCTCTAGTGGCAATTTTTGTCTCGATAGACCTCATCCATTCTTTATTCTTATCTCTGGAGGGCGCGGTGCGGCGGCTGCGGCAAACATTTCATTGTGGCCCCTCATCACCTGCATTGTTCGGTTCGCCAAACTAGCCCATTGTTAGCACTCGCCGCGCGCATTGTGCCCGTTTTCCCAGCAGAGATCGAGCACCGCGCGCGCGTGATTGCATCTGTGTGGTTGGTGTGCCCGCGCGGCAGGGCTGGACGGGGTCGCACGCTGCACCGAGCATTAAAAAGACATAAATTACTCACCGGCCACCGAGAGGCGGACTTTGGTGTTTCTGGTCGGCGATTTCCTGAAGTCCACCCTGCACCGATAATCGCCCTCGTCGCGTTCGTCCAGGCTGTCTAGACTGAGCGTGGCCGGCTCGGTTTTGGCGCGGAAAAATCCGCGCTCGGCCAAGACGCCTTTTTCCTTCCAGTGGGACGGTCGTTCCGGCTGGGCGCCCCGCGTGTCATAGCTGTGGGTCACAACACATATTTTACATCAGTGTGGCTCCAGAGAGCACTCAAATGTACACGCGTTCTCTTGCTGTTGTTGTCAAGAAGAGAAAAAGCAGGTTGCAAAACATGATACACAGGGACTCAAATAATCAAACTAATATCTAATTTTGAAAGACTATTTGCAGCTCATAATAATAAACATCAAAAACAATTTTCAAAATAATCATGATATTGACGAGCAGAATGAAATTTCTTGGAATTCTTGAAATTCAAGTCCATGTTTCAAATACATATGATAGTGAATACATAAATTTAAAGAAAGGCATAACTTCGCTAATGATTCATAATGAACAGAAACTGTGGCCAAAAATATGTTTTATTATTAATTATTATAATTATCATTATATTATATTATATTATATAATTATATATTATTATTATCATTATTATGATTATTAATATTATATTATTTTTATTAAAGTTCTGTTTTTCAAAATCTGCAGTTATTGATTTTCTTTAATAAATTTCCAGCGGTACATATTTAACATACATATTTACCCCTTAGAACAATTAAAAATAATAGTCACAATTTAAGCCACATTGCAGAAATTATGGATTCAAAAATTTGGACATTGAAGGTCAAACCCTTGACCAATTTTCAGTTAAGCAGGATTTTCTAGCACATCTTTGATAGTTAAAAAAATTATTGAAAATCCCCAGAGCCGATGCGAGCTCCTTTGAAGCTCACGTTGATCAAACGGCCGGTTAAAATCTGTATAAAGTGACCGCAGGTTGCTTCTTGGGGACAACAGAACATAACACGCTCTCGGAATGTGGAGAGAGTGAAACACACACAGGCTGTAATGCAATTTTCTGCTTCAGCGAATGGGTATTAGCCAAGTTAGTTTTGAAGCGCGTTATCTTGCCACCGAGCAGAGACACAATGACACTTTTTGATGAACTTGCGCCCGCCGCGAATCTGATGACGAAATTCGGCCGCGTGGAAAATTCGGCCAAAGAAACGCCCACCTCTGTTCAGTTTGACATTTCCAGCTCTATTTACGAACGCCCTTTAATGAGAAAATATCGAACCTCGTCGGCACCATGTTTGCGGAGGTTTCGGAAATATTTTTCTTTTATTTACGTCAGACCTTGCAAAATCGCGCAGACTGTTTTGCGGCTAAAAAGAAACTCGTCCTCATTTTTGTGTCTGCGGACGCAGCGCGTGTGCCCAAATTGTGCGACACAAGCCATATTTTTATTCGTCTCGCTCCGAGCAACAAACCCAATCCCATATAATAAGTTTACTTGCACCATGAAAAAAATTGCCTCTTCAAATCAGAGTATCTGAGCATGAGCTGCTCGCGAGCATGATTGAACAAAATTTAGCTGAATTTTAATTTTTTTAATTTGGTTTGAACTTGTCAATAAATTGACTTTTGCTAAATAATTTTGTCGGGCGTTCTTTCAGAGTAAATAAAAAATTGGACTTGACAAGAAATCTAGATATGCATTCAAAATGGATAATTATCATTGACGTGGGTTTTTTTAGAGGATTAATTTGTCTTTATTTAACTGGGAAAAATAAAGATTCACGCCAGACTTCATTTTGCGCCAAATCACCAGGAATTGTAATTTTGCTAACATGTTATCTACAATACTTGGTTGTAAAACAAAAAAATTACTTTATCATTTTTTTTACCCACTTTTTCAATTTTATTTAAATTTAAATAAGAAGCCAATTAAGTAAACAGGAAGTTAAAACGGGACTGAAAAACTTTGTTGATTTATTTAAACAATTTATAAAGCCTTCCAGATTAAATATAAGAGATTAATTTATTATTATATTTTCAAGAGATTTACTTTTAGATATTATTTCACAAATATTTGGTTGCATTAGTTAGAATGAATCCTTGCTGAATTTTCAACAGTTTAAGATGGATAAATAATATTTTGCTTTTCCTATTGCATCGACATTCTACAGTTTCTTTTAATTTTCACTGATTAATCTTACGGCTCTTTTTTTGCTGTTGAACCTCAAACAAACCGGCTCTGAATTCATACTGGAGGGAATAAAAATTAATCGGACTAACAAAGAAATCTCCATCGCTTGAAGTTCTCAATAATGCATTGTGGAAAATTGCGCAGCAGCAAGGGGTGTGTTCTGTGCAAGGATACTGGCGCGGGAAATGGAAAATTTCATATCCGCAAAAAATGCTCACGTGCAAGGCTTTCAGCAAAAACGCTATTAAAAAAGTGTCAGCGCGTCTCTCTCTCTTTGGAGACAAAGGGACAAAAGAGTAACCGACCTGTAAATGGGCGTCATCTCGTTCTTGTACCAGATGACGAGCAGCACGGTGTCGTTGGCCAGCGGCGGCAGGATGTCGCAGGGCAGCAGGGCAGTGCCCCCGGCCACGGCCTGCACCTGAACAACGGGGCCTGCAACAAACAATGTCATAAATTTTTCACCTGTTACGAAAAAAAAAAAAAGCGGAAAATTCCGCACCCGGAATCAACAAAGAAAAGGGCAATTTTCGCGCTTTCATGCGGCGAAAGGAATGCGTGGCGAGGGCGGTCGGTCGGTTTTTCAGACCACCGCACATTATTGCACACCATAAACACTTTTATTTTGCGGTTTTTAATTCCTCTCGTGCGCTCCGATAACTTGCAGTCACATCTCGCAAGGAGCGCGTGCCGAGTGGCCCTTTTTCGCGCTCGAGTTTTTAGCCTTCTGGAATTTACACTGTTTTTGCTTTATTTTCGTAGTACAAAACGAAACTGAGAAAAAGCGGGTCAAGTGATTTACTACCTGATGGGGATTCGTGTATTTTTATGTGTAACGTCATAATATGCAAATCACCCGCGGGTAATAATTCAGATAAAAACACGCCGGTGCGCCGCCGTAATTTAGAAAAGTAATTAAATTTCAAGGTTTTCCTTTCGTCCGTGTGTTTTATGTTCCGCTAGCTTTAATACAACGTCCAGAAAAGCCCAGGATGAATAATTCAAATGCAAAATTATCATACACACACACACACACGGCCAATAATTTTCTTCCATTTACGAGGCGAATTCCATCAGAACGTGTTTGCCAGTTGTAAAATTTTCTCGGCTCCGTGACGCGAGCGGCAGCACCCTCGTGGGAATGCTTATGACACTCACGTGCACCTCTTTTCACATGTGAGTTGCCGGTGTAAATAAGACAGAAAGTCGTCTGACAGCTCTTTGCAGGTTTAGAATTCAAGTTATAAATAGTTTTTATTAGTTGAAACTAATGCATAATAGTGTTTCAATAGGATAATGTAAAAGTTTTTGCGTAGGTCCCAATATCAGAGAAATGATTCTCGCGCAATGATTATGGCGGAACGATTATCGCTTCTCACCTAATGATTCTTGAGAAACGATTTTTGACTGTATAGTGCATTCCCATTGAATTAAGTTTGTATTGAAAACGGGATTAAAAATTGTATTTTAAACAGTTTTTTTATTTCATAAAGTAAATAAAATAAGCAAAAAATACTAAAAATAGTTTATAAAAGATAAATATAATTCCTTAAAACAAGGATCGGCGCAAAATAAGAGCGAAGCAAGAAACGCAGCTTGCGTTGCGTAAAATTAAGTGCTAAGGCTGCTCTTTCATTTAATTTGTGGTGATGCCCTTTGACATATATGCACTTCTGGTACACCAGCCTCGTTTTTCTTCAAGAGGTGTATTAGCCGACTTTGACCCCATGAGGAGCATCACCAAGCGCCTGCCCCTCCAATCAGATGACCTTCAGGGCCCAAAAAACTGAAACCTTCCACAGTCCGGAGCGAGTTTGCCAAGGATTATTATTCCTACAGGGACGTCGGGCCTTGGAATAGCCTTCAGGACGCGCTGAAAACCTGTCCAGTGGAACAGTTTCCCACCCTCTGCACCAGTGGCAAAATTTGTGATAAGTGATAAGAACATTCGACAACTTTGAAAAAATTATAAATAATCTCGGCAGCTGCTTCGTTTTTTAAAAAACTGAAAATTTGATATCACCGGAGTGGAAATTTATGCAATACAAGACTATGTGGCTTTAAAAGACATTTGCTTGACGTTATATCTTTTTAATTCGCTGTATAACTGAGGAAACGCGTCATGTTAATTTGAAACACTTTATGTTTTTGCCTGGTTAATATGCTTGGAACGGCGTGCGGTGTGGTCTTTTGATGTCCAGCCCTCCTGTGTGAATGTGAAGCGCTTTCTGCTCTTCACGGTTGCGCCTCCTTTTGTGATGTCTTACTTTTGATGTTTCTGATATTTATATGGTGCATATAATTGCAAAACACCCGCGTGGCGTGTGAAAGAGAAACGAGGAAGAATCGCCTGCTTGCTAAGGGTGCATTAATGCAAATCTAAATATTGCATGACACCCCCATCAACAGCGCGCGGCCGACAACTAGCCTCTGCAAACTAATGGCCGAGCGAGCTGCTAATGACGCAACAATGGGTAAAAAAGAAACGAAATCGCGCGCGCACCCGCCGCATTATCCGGCTTTATTCACAGCGAGAACTGCGATAGAGTGCCTCTCATTTTATCGACACTGACAAGGGAACCTCGCCAACCTTAAAATTTTGAATCAAATTATCTTTCTAGTGAACGAAAACAGGCTTTTTTCTCGTTAAAATAATTTTTTTATCCCATTCAGTATTGTAAAATCAGTATTAGTTCAACATTAAATAAAAGAGTGAAAAGAATAGAAATTAATGAAAATTTTCAGATTTAATTTTGGACATCAAAAATTAATGTGTATAGATAAAGACCAGACATTATTGTTGTTTATTTATGTGGATTTTGGCTTCCGTGGTTAATATACAGTCAGGTATATTATTCAATTCAAATTGCAGAAATTCATATGGAAATTTATGGTAAAATATTATAAAAATACTAATTAGCAGAACATAAACAATATGATTCTCTTAATTGCAAATAAATATTTGTTAAATTTAATTGAAAATTCTTTTTTAAAGTAAAATAAACTTTAAAATTATCTAATATAGAAATAATATTAGTTTGTTTTTATTTATATTTTCTTTTATAAAACTTTTAAAGGATATAATTGCAGAGGTGGGGATTGCAAATTAGTAAATTGGAATGATGAATCACTAGACGTGTGTCAAAATATTCGCGCATTTGACCAGTTGTGAAATATTGCAACCAAATATGATAGGCGATGTTCCCTGGTGAGAGAGTGAATGTATTTGTGCCGGTATATTATTTTTATTTCAACCGCAGTAATTTGCACGGCACATAATTAAATAAACGAGCGGACGGACGGATGGGCCATCAGCGGTGGTGGCCAAAACAAAACAAAATCAATGCGGGCCGAAAATTGGATTGCAAAGCGGCAGCATAAAGCGCTTATAAGCTGCTTATTTATTATTTTGTTTTAAGAGTGGTGAACGCGCTTTGAACCCACAACGCGTGCAAACACACATGCGAATTAAATCTGCGGCAGTTAAAAGTCGGTCGACACAGAGCAAATCTCAAATTTCCAATTAAATCCACCTCTGAATAATTGAAAGCTGGCCCGCTTCGCAATGAGCACAAACGCTCTTTGCCCCCGCAGTCATCGCCGACGGCGCGGCCATTAACTTGGTTTATGCCTGAATTTAATAGAATTCGCAACCAGCAGCGCAGCTCGGTGTTGGTGGTGGCACAGCCCGAGTGGCAACTCTTAAAAGGGCGCACGAAATTTGTAATTACTGCATGTGATGCACGCTATACGGAACGCGCGCGCGACCACACCAATATACACAATACGACCCCAAACCAAAGGCCACCTCCTGAGCGGGCCGGAAACTGCCAAGGTCGCACAGTGTCGTGCTCAACATGAATATGAATTTGGTGCTCATGAATTTTAATGCACATAATACAAATCAAGATAAATCCTGACTATTTATTTACAATGAAACTCATAATTCAATTAATGACTTTGAGATTTAGAAACAGAAAAATATTATATATATTTGGTTAAGAATTGAAATAATAGCAATGTCTAGAATAATTTTTTGCCCAGTTTGATGCCGGGAAACAATAAATCTTGATCATTAAAAGTGCTATAAAATTATCCAATATATATAAATTAACTTTTCGCTTTTAAATTTCAAACTCATTAATTGAATTATGCTTTTTCTGTACTTTTTAGACCGTATATTTTTTTTTGCTGTGTATTCATGACACATGACTGTATCGAATGGAGAAAAAATAAGTACATAAATAAAATAAATGAGCCAAATTATTATAAGTCACTGGCAATTATGATATTGAGATATTTCTCCACATCAATGTGTTGAGATATTTTTCTGCATTAATGTGTTGAGATGTTTAAAATTTTTGTTTTTTAAATTGACTGCGAGTCTAAAACAAATAGAAATAATTAGGCAATCCTTTGCAAAAATTAATTTTTTTTACATTGTTTTCAAAAGTAGATTTTTCAATAAACCTTACAATGTTCTGCTTGCAAAAAGAGGCCTTTTGTTTATGAAAATTAAAAGTTTTCCATTCTTTGTACTCTATGCATAAAATATTTGCAAAATCAAAAGATGGCCCCTACTGCAGCAGGCCCCGATTCGTATGTTATGTGGAATCGGTGGCGGCGGCAACATGAGCACAACACGACGAGCAGCAGCCGGGTATCGCGTTCAGCTCTCATCCAGATTAATTTTGCGCCGCCGCCACACCGTGATTGGTTTTATTACACGGATTATGAGCAGGCACCATAAAATATGAATCCCGGCGTGCACAACACGCGGTGCTTGTCAATTTTAATCATAACGAACGAGCCGGAGTAAATAAATTCGCGCGATTGAGGCATCGCTGTGCACTCGCAGGCAATATTTTGCGTACGCTGTCTGTCGCACGGGGTGGCGCAGCGGGAACAACCCTTGTAGAACACCGCCCGGGTGAAACATTGTGCCAGGCCGTAAAAGACATAATTCTCTGCTGGCGGAGGCCCCGAATCTTATTGTAAATCCTCTCGCAAGTGTCCCCTAGTAAAAAGGTCAAGAAAATAAAATCTCAAGTCAAACACGACATAAATATATATTCCCTTTGGCTCACTCGCTCGCTCACTCTCTCTTCTATTTGCATTAACAGTTTCAGAATAGTACGAACATGATAGGGGCTGGCAAAGGGAACAAAGCGCTCTGGCATGCACAAACTCACTGTTCTAACGGCGAAACTTTTCTGCCCTAAAAATATGTCTGGGGTTCAAACAATAAAAACGAAAACTTTATGTGGTAACCCTGTGTGTGTGTGTGCGCTAGCGAAGGAAAAAGCCCCGCAGTCGGTCGTGCCGCTGCTCCATTGGCCGTGTGTAATTCTCGAGCGGGAATCGATCACGAGATATATAATTACGGGGCTCGCGGAACAATATGCAAATCCACGTATGGATTTTACATTAGAGAG